TATATATATGGCTGATTTGTTATTGAGATTTACTCATATTAACTTTATAAGTAACCTGATTGTATGAATATATCTTTTACCCGTGCATAGAATTTAAATTGTTATCGCTGTTATCAATTTAATACAAGTGAAGTTTGCAAAATTGAAGCCTGATATTTATTTAATTACCATATATCATTTCAGCTAGCTAGTAATACTGTCATTTTTACCTCTTTTCTTTTTCCAGAATAAATGGATAGAACTTTTCCCATCTATAATTTCTAGAGCCAAAACTATTCAAGTTGTGACCTCAGGAGTATCTGGACATGCAACTGGTTCTCTTCAACTGGTAAGTACCTTTATAAACAAGAAGAAAAAAAACCTTTTCATGTCTTCATTATCTTTGTAGTTTATAAATGTTGGATTTCTGTTTAATTTTTTTTTTTTTTCGCTTCAGATGTTTATGGAAATGCAAGCTCTCACACCCTTAGTGCCTACACGAGAATGTTATTTCCTCCGTTATTGCCAGCAGAATGTGGAAGAAGGGACTTGGGCAATTGTTGATTTTCCTCTTGACAGTCTTCACAACAATTTCCCTGCTCCTTTCCCTTATTTCAAAAGAAGACCTTCTGGCTGCATCATTCAAGACATGCCCAATGGCTACTCTAGGGTAATTCTTGTGCTTTTCCCCTTCTTTTACGCTATGGTTGAATCATTAGCACATTAACAATTATTGAAGTAAGATGAATAACTAGACTCTCTTTTTTTTTTTTTTTTTAAAAGGTTACATGGGTGGAACAGGCTGAGGTTGAGGAGAATCCAGTGAATCAGATATTCAATCAGTATGTGAGTAGTGGTATGGCATTCGGAGCACAACGATGGTTAGGAATCTTGCAGAGACAATGCGAAAGGCTAGCTAGCCTTATGGCACGAAACATATCTGACCTTGGAGGTGCTTAATTTCTTCTCTAAATCTAATAATATCGTTTAATTTCTGGCGATTATACAACAGATTTGTATTGTTTGGAAATTGCTTTTTGTAGTGATACCATCTCCAGAAGCGCGAAAGAGTTTGATGAATCTGGCTCAGAGGATGATCAAGACATTCTGTATGAACATTAGCACCTCTTGTGGGCAGTCATGGACAGCTCTTTCTGATTCTCTTGAGGACACTGTTCGAATTACTACCAGAAAAGTCACAGAGCCAGGCCAACCCAATGGACTAATCCTATGCGCCGTTTCAACTACTTGGATTCCATATAATCATTTCCAGGTCTTTGATCTCTTGAGGGATGAACGTCGAAGAGCTCAGGTTTGCATTAAAAATTCCCAATTAAGTATTTGTGGTCTGAGAAGCTGGTTTAATATTGAATTATACAATATCTAATTAATGCAGTTGGATGTGCTTTCAAATGGCAACTCACTGCATGAGGTGGCTCACATTGCAAATGGCTCTCATCCAGGAAATTGCATTTCTCTTCTTCGCATTAATGTAAGATCCCTTTTAAGTTTGTTTCAGATCAACAGCACGATGATTCTTATGCACCATAAGCCGCAAACTTTAATATAGGAATTAACAAATTTAATGACCACTTTTAAAATATTTTTTAATCATAAGTAGACTACTAATAGCGGCAGTCCTTGTTGGGAAATTACTAGCTATTGCCTGAATAAGGTTGGTACTTATAGATTGCACATATTAGCTTTTCATTATCATGAAAAATAAATACAATCTGATCAACAGGCTAGGCTTAAATACAAAGAGCCCTTTGTCCAAAATTAATTAAGTTCTCTTGAGTACGGACTTTGGATTAGTACTCTCTCGCTTACTTCTCTTCTAGTAATCGTGTCACGAGTTTTATTAAATTTCTATATCCCCTAGTAATAATTTATCATCATATGTTAGTACTTGCCCGAACTTCAAAAATATTTGAAGATGTATCCTAATGTCTTACGTTGGCCAGTATGAGACATTTCCTACTTGACTTAGATTATTTTTGGATTGATGCAGGTGGCTAGCAACTCATCCCAGAGCGTAGAGCTGCTGCTGCAGGAGAGCTGCACGGATGATTCCGGCAGCCTTGTGGTCTACACCACCGTCGATGTGGACGCCATCCAGCTAGCCATGAACGGCGAGGCCCCATCGTGCATTCCTCTTCTTCCCTTAGGCTTTGTTGTAACACCAGTGGGACAAATCAATAACTGTGACACTAACATTAATCCTAGTGAAGCTAATTCAGGTGCACAATCTTCGGAGAAGAGGAACTTGTCAATCCAAGAATCTGGATCTGGAGGCTGTCTACTCACTGTTGGATTACAAGTCCTCGCCAGCACAATTCCAACTGCAAAGCTCAACCTTTCTAGCGTCACTGCCATTAACCACCACTTATGCAACACCGTACAACAAATCACTGCTGCACTTTCCGCTTTCAACCCCGAGCCAGCAATAACGGTACCGTCACCACAACTACAACCTCAGCAACAGCAACTAGAACCAAAGCAAGCAGATGAAATCAGCTCAAATTCCTAATTACCCAAAACCTCCCTTTAACAAAATTTCCAATATTTTATTTTGGAAAAGGTTGGGGGAGGTTATGAGTAATTGGTGAAAATGCGAAGTGGGTAGGTGTGTATGTCTTTTGTTGGCCCGAGGGGGGGGGGGGGTTAGATATGTCCAGCAACATATGGACTAGTAGTACTATTGCATAGGTAGATGGGGCCATGCAAATGAAGGTTATAGCCTGTGCATGTGCATGGCTGGGCCCGAGTAAATAAATGAGAAGAGTCAGAAGGTAGTTGTTAGGTAGGTGGGTAAATCCAGTGAAATGATTGTGTATTTCTTGAATATGTTTTGTGATAAGATTCTAAGATATTGGGAAGTCAAGAACGAACCAGGTGAGATCCTTGCTGAATGGTGAGAGACCCCAAGGAAAGAATATTTTAATGTTTTTTGTGCTGAAATAGTAGTAATGGGCCTCTCTCACCAGCTAACAAGGGTATGGTTCGGGTATTGACTTCTTGTTTTATGTCCCCCTCCCCTCCTAGTGATTAATTTTGGTATTGTTGAAAATATGAATTCGCAGCTGTTTCCGCATACACTAATTGTAGTAGTAACCTTAGAATTAAGATTTAATTACTAGTATTTGTTTGTTATTACCTCTGATCTTGCGCCCTCCCCTTACATATTATCCTTTATTTTGTTGCTTTTCCTAAAGGAATTTGATTTTTGGTCTTCAAGAATCTTCTTATATATAGTAGTAGCATTTTGTGTTTTGGCTGGTTTTCGGAAATTCTTGTATGCTATCTTGACGAAAAATTTTACTGTAACTTCCGTACTAGAGTATACAATTATGACTTATTTAGCATTAAATCGTTAACTTTTATACTTCAAAGATAATTTTCAAAATTTATTTCTTCGTTTTGTTCGTTCAAGGAATTAGTCAGTTCGAGATGCTAAAAGTACTTAAAGAATTAACACAAACAGTTGGATCCTCCTTATCATCAGTGTAAATATAAATAAACACGAGACTTGTATGTGGTTAGATTCGGGGTAATTCATAGCTTTTAGAATTTCACATTAATACGGGGTATTTGCATCTATACCCGCTTTTTGTGCCACATTTTAACCTGTGCCCGCTTTGCAAAAAATATTGCAAGCGTACCCGCTTTTTCGCATAACTTCAGCACACGGGGCTGAAGAAGCAAAGGCAATCACACAAAACTTCAACATTTTAGTAGCCGGGCCTGAAGTTCAGCTCTAGAGCTGAAGTTTTTGTTTTGTAACTCGCGAACTTCAGCTCTAGAGCTGAAGTTTTATTTTATAAGTTTTTGTTTAGTAATCGGGAAACTTCAGCTCTAGAGCTGAAGTTTGCCAGTTATAAAATAAAACTTCAGCTCTAGAGCTGAAGTTTGCCAGTTATAAAATAAAAACTTTAGTTCTAGAGCTGAAGTTTTTGTCTTTGTAACCGGAAAACTTCAGCTCTAGAGCTGAAGTTTGCCAGTTATAAAATAAAAATTCAGCTCTTCAGCTCTAAAGCTGAATTTTTATTTTATAAGTTTTTGTTTAGTAACCAGGAAACTTCAGCTCTAGAGCTGAAGTTTGCCAGTTATAAAATAAAAACTTCAGCTCTAGAGCTGAAGTTTTTCTTTTGTACTGGAAACTTCAGCTCTAGAGCTGAAGTTTTTGTCTTTGTAACCGGAAAACTTCAGCTCTAGAGCTGAAGTTTCTATGTTGTAACTAGAAAACTTCAGCTCTAGAGCTGAAGTTTTTGTGTTGTAACTGAAAAGCTTCAGCTCTAGAGCTAAAGTTTCTATGTGGTAACTAGAAAACTTCAGCTCTAGAGCTGAAGTTTTTGTGTTGTAACTGAAAAATTTTAGCTCTAGAGCTGAAGTTTCTATGTTGTAACTAGAAAACTTCAACTCTAGAGCTGAAGTTTTTGTGTTGTAACTGAAAAACTTCAGCTAATTAACTTCAGCTCAGGACACCAAGAAGATACAGTTACATCTAATTAACTGTATTGTGATCATCTAATGCATCCGATTTTGCGCTCTGTTTTTATTGCAAAATAAATGCTTTGTTGTTATGTTATTTCGTTTTCGAAAACTTTTCTTTTTAATATTTGAATCTCTGATCGCTGATGATCAGTTTCTCCATTTTCTTTACGGTTTCTATGTTTATCTATATTACAACATATTTGATTTTCGTGTTGCTATTTTTTTGTTGGATAAAAATTGGTGCCTTTTTCTGATCAATGGTATGACCATATCATTCCTCAGTCCTCACGGAGTTGTGTTTCCAGAAAATGAGAAAATGAAGAAGGAGAAGGGGAAGAGAAAGGGAAGCTGAATTTTTTTAAAAAGTGGGTACAGGTGCAAACAGAAAGACAAAGCGGCTACAGGTTAAAAAGGGGCGCCGAAATAGGGCGCCCCGTGCAATTTTTACCATTAATATGCCCAAGAAGCAAACCAAGATCTCATTTAGTCATTTTTGTCTGGTCCAAAAATTTGCTGGACCGATTGAGACGTTTGTTAAATAGCACTCTGCCAATATTTCAAGTGAAAAAAAAGGGCAAACTTGTTGGAGATGATATTACATAGCTGAGGGTCTACTTTGTAAATATCAAAAGTTAGATAGTTAGTTGTATTTAACAGATTATAGATATTCCTCACAAGATATTCCTCTCTCCTCTCTTTGAATCTTTCCTCTTCTTCTTAATTGTTTCCTCCTGAGAGCTCATTTCCTCTATTGATGATGGTTTGTAACATGATATCAGAGCTGCACGATTATTAATTGTGATTCACGATCATGTATCAAGGAAGACCTAAAAATGCTGACTTCCGATTTTTTCTTGACAATTTGAAAAATAAACTTGCAGGATGGAAATCTAAATTTCTAACATTGCCAGGTAGAGCCACTCTAGTAAAATCTACTCTAAACCAGTTACTAAACCATATTATGCAGTACATACATATTCCTGCCCACATAGTTAATAAAATGGAACAATATCAATGAAATTTTTTGTGGGGTACTACTTCAGAAAGGAAGAAATTACACCTTGTTAGATGGAATGAAATCTCAAAGGAAGCATGAGGATTATGAATTCAAAAACTACGTCAAAAGAACTATACTTTACTAGCAAGTCTAGCTTGGAGAATCTTTAAATCACCACAAGCAATGTGGGCTCACATCCTTCTTAACAAATATATTAACATATCCACCAAATATTCTCACTCAAAAATATGGACTAATATTATCAATGGCTGGCATCACTGTCAGCTAGGAATAAAATGGAAAGTAGGAAAAGACTCACATATCAAATTTTGGGAAGATCCCTGGATTATGGCACAACGACTAGATCTCAAATTAAAGGACCACTTCCATTAGGCCATCATAATATCACAATCTCTTTCTACTAAATGATACCGGATGGGATCGGAATAGTTTCCCATTTGAATTACCGTACCAACCAATATTACTCAAACAATTCTAGCTACATATATCTCCAAATATGAAAATAAGGAAGATAATATTTAATGGGGTCTAACTCCAATGGGAAAATTCACAACTAGATCTATGTATACGGCGTTGGAAGCTCAGTTAACTGAACCTACTAATAGCTCTATAAAATATAATTGGATCTGGAAGCTTCCGGTGCAACCCAAAATCAAAGGGTTCATTTGGCTTTTATATCGGAAAAGACTCCCTACCAAAGAATTTCTTAAGCATATTAATCTAATTCAAGACGCTACTTGTCAATATTGCCACCAAGACGATGAAACTATAAGACACTTGTTTCTTGATTGCACAAACGCTAAGGCGTATTGGCAGGAACTGGGAATACTGCAGTTTATTAACCAAAAAATAACCAACACAAACACACTCAATTGGTTACATGACCTCATAACCTGTAAGGATCTACAGCTTCCTTATCATATGAACACAGCCACATACTTACCTCTAAGCCTATGGAATATATGCTAGCTCGCAATAACAATGTTTATAAGCATACTAAAGACACTACTTCAGTCAAACACACAACTCAGCAAGCGGCGGAATACACCTACCTAGTAGCTAAAAAACACAAATGTCTTAAACAAAGACAACAAAATCTAAAATGGGAACCTCCTAAAGAAAATTTTTATAAGCTAAATACAAATGGAGCTCATACAACAACAACTGCTGGCATTGGTGGAATAATTCAAAACTCTAAGGCTGAATGGATGTTAGGCTTCACGGCAGCAGTCCCAGGAGATTCATCTACTTCAGCAAAATTGCATGCTTTGTTACAGGGTCTTAGGATAGCATATGACTACAATTTCATTCCACTAGAGGTGGAAGTGGATGCACAAGAGATTATCAGACTGTTCCTATCTAATACTGTATCATTTGATAATTTGTTAACTGACTGCAGGTATTTCCTGAACAGGTTAGGTAAGCCAATAGTACAACATGCGTACAGAGAGCACAATAGGATTACAGATCACCTAGCAAAGGTAGGCTGTAATTTTGGACATAACTCAGCGGCGCATATTTTGGAAAACATCCCGGATTTTGCATGTCAAGTTTTTGAAGAAGATAAGAATGGCATGCAAGCACAAACTACAGTGCAAGGACATGTTTTGGAAGACTTCAGCACTGCTTCAGCGAAGTCTGATGCTATTCCTAGTATATGCAATAGTAATATAGTAGATAATAGTATTACTGTGGGTCTGTATAATAGTTTGTTACCCAGTACTAGTAGGTTATCGTGTAATAGGATGCAGTATACGCATCCATCCTCTGTACGCATCACTTAATCATAATATATGTTTATCTTTTGAACCAAAAAAAAAATGTATCACAACTTTCAGGCGAAGGATAGTAAATTGATTTCAGCCATGGCTATCGATGATACGATTGGAAAACCTAAGTCACAATTATCCTCAGTTCTTGAACTTGACAAATAATTCGAGTGTAGTGTTGATCTCTCTACAATTATTAGGAACCGAGAATTATTCTGCGTAGAGTCGTACAATAAGAATCACAATCCTAAGGCGCAACAAACTAGGGTTTATAGACAGAACATGCAATAAGGAGCATTACGGTCAAAACCTAGCTAATTTGTGGAAGATATGCAATGTAATTGTCCTCTTATGAATAATGAATAAAAGAATTGCTCAGCGGGATTGTGTACTTATCTAATACAGTTGTTGTACGGTTTGATAAGATCGACTGATCCAAATCATTTCAACTTCATAAAGAATTGCAACTATACATCTAGATACTAGTTTGATTTCTATCGATTTCTCAAAATTGCAAGCACTTTGGGTTGAATTTGATCGCCTTGCCCGTGTTCCTGGTTGTGACAGTTTATAGTCTAGAGATTTGTTGAGTCTAAGAATAGACTGAAGTTAATTTAATCTCTAATGGGACTAAACGAATCCTATGAACAAGTTAGAGGTCAAATATTGATGACAACGCCTACTCTATCTGTATAAATCATACTCTCTGATATTTGAGAGGGGAAGTCAGAGTGCTATATTCAAAACATTTGCTACAGTTGAGAATACAAATTTAACTGCACTAATATCTACTAGAGGTGGTAATATGCAAAGGCCTAAGAAATTTTTTAATGTTCAGTGTGACCATTGCA